CTCTCGGCCACGGCGTCCTTCTCGGCGGCCCTGGCCGCCGCGACGAGCTCCTTGGCGACGGGCAGCTCCTTCTTGAGGCCGTCGCGGCGCTGCCTCGCGTTGGCCTGGGCGTCGCCACCGGCGTCGGGCCGTCGCCGTCTTCGCCGCCCTGGTCCTCCTACGTATTCCCCTGAGATCCTGGCGTCGCGAATTTTTTGAGCTTGGCGGTCTCGCCTGGCTTCGGGCCCTGAGACCTCCCCAGATCGATCCGGCTCGAGGGATGCCGCAGAAAGATGTGGTCTCGCGCTCTGGCCGCGATTTTCTGGGGAGTCGTATTGTTTCGCAATGTCGAACTGCAGGGTCGTCGTCGCCATCCCAGGCATCCGACGCCTGGACTTTTTGCAATACGGGGCCCCCTGATGTCCCGACCCCTTCCTCGGGGCCAGCTTTCGTCCCGAGTCGTCTTGTGGCGGTCCCAGGGCCCGGCGAGGGCCCCCAGAGACCGGACCGAGAACTGTGCGAAAAATATCCGTGCTGAATTCGTTCTATCTGACGACGGGTGTCATAGCGGACTTCGACCCCCCCAGAAAGACTGCGACCGTTTTGTGCGCAATCAGAGAAGGGGAGCTGCGTACGTTGGAGGAGCCAGTGGCGGATGGGCAAAAGGAAGGAGGATGGGGGAAGCCGGGGCGTCGCTTAACGGGGGGCGATAAATCGGGGGAAGAAAGGTGTACTTTTCGGGTCCGAAAGGCCTCCTTTTGGGCCCCATTAGGGGCCCTGCAGGGCCCCTTTTCTTTATCCCTCGCTGCACCCTCATTTGTCGCCCCCATTACGCGACGCCCAAGAAGCAGCAGGATGAGGACGGGGACAGGGAAAAGGGGGGGCAGCGCATCGTGGCCCAATGCACGTGTGCGGACGAGGGGTAGGCAGGGGACGTGTTGAAAAAGACTCGTTTCTCGACGGGCACCCGGGCCCGAGAATGGGCTCCAGCGCGGCGTGTGCACTGGAAAAGCGCACAGATGATAGGCCGACGACCCGTTTCCCTCATGAGCACTTCCCAGACATCCGAAGTCTTGACTTCTTCAAGACGGAACCCTAGACAATTCCGACCCTTCCCCAGGGCCGGCTTTTCATCCCGAGTCTTTTTGTTGATCGTCCTGGGGCCCAGCGAGAGCCCCCGAAGGCCAAAAACGACGAAACGCCTCCGTCCCGAATTCGCTAAAGACGTCAGTCTGGGCTTCCCTGAGATCCGACGTACCGGAAAATTACAACATTGTAAAAAATCAGGTCCGGAGCCCTAGACACCATCTCTCTGCGTCATTTTTCGAGCCGGATCGATCTCCGAGGGTCCCAGGGCCCGAAAAAAAAAGGATTTCGCCCGGCTCGAAAACGCCTGGCTCGAAAAAAGTAGGACGCCAGGATCTCAGGGTTTCCCCACGGCGAGACGATGGCGACGATCAACTCCTTTTCCCGGCGCGCCCGTGGCACTCACTTTGACCCGCCGGCGCCTTCGGCGCTGGGTGGTGCCGTGGCCTGGCTCCGCACAACGTGGCAAGGAGGAGGAGGAGATGGAGGAGGAGGAGGAGGAGGAGGAGGAGGAGGAGGAGGAGGAGGAGGAGGAGGAGGAGGAAAAAAGAAGAGGAGGAGGAGGAGGAGGAGGAGAGGAGAGGAGGAGGAGGAGAGGAGGAGGGAGGAGGAGGAGGAGGAGGAGGAGGAGGAGAAGAGGAGGAGGAGGAGGGGGAGGGGGGGGGGGAGGAGGAGGAGGAGGAGGGGGGGGGGGAGGAGGAGGAGGAGGAGGAGGAGGAGGAGGAGGAGGAGGAGGAGGAGGAGGAGGAGGAGGAGGAGGAAGGAGGAGGAGGGAGGAGGAGGCCCGCGCTGGCCGGGCCAAGACCCAGGCGCGGGCGCTCGCCCCCTCGTCGGAGGCCGCGGCGGCATGCACCCGCCTCTTGAGGGGCAGCGGGGGAGGGGTACAAAGGAGAAGGGCGGGAGGAGGCACGAGGATGGAGGGCGGGAGAGGAGAGGGCGGGAGGAGGCACGAGGATGGAGGGCGGGAGGAGGCACGAGGATGGAGGGCGGGAGAGGAGAGGGCGGGAGAGGAGACCCAGACATGGGACATCGTGATTTGTTCCACGCACGGCCCCCCGAAATCTCGACCCTTTCCACCCTTTCCCCAGGGCCGGCGTTTCACCCCGAGTCGTCGTTGACGACGATCCCGAGGCCCTGGGAGGGCCCCCGAAGAAGCCGAAAATGGCCGGCAACTTCCCGCCGCAGTCTTCTCTCGCGACGAGAGCATGCCTGTGGAAGGGAGGGGGGAAGGTGAAGGCGGAGAAGGGAAGAGGAGGGGAGGGGACTGGAGAAGCTGGGGGGGGGGATGCGGCAACGGGGAGCAGAGCCGGGCCCCGACGCCGCGAGCAAACATACCGGCGCCAGGCCCCTGAACGGCCTTCCCCCAAGGCAGCGCGTACACTGAAGGTGTAGTCCTCGCTGCCATTCGATATAGAGAGAGGAGTGAGAAAGAGAGAGGGAGAGGGAGAAACGAAGACATAAATCAAGCGAGACGGCGAGAGAAAGAAAGAGAGAGAGAGAGAGAGAGCGAGGGAGAGAGAGAGAGAGAGAGAAAGAGAAAATGAGAGGGAGAGAGAGAGAGAGAGAGAGAAAGAGAGAGCGAGAGAGAGAGAGAGAGAGAGAAAGAGGACCAAACAACAAATCCCACCAGCTCTTTGGGCGTGAGTGGTTTAGCGAGCTCTCTCTGTTCTCACCCCCCTAACCCCCTATCTTCCCCTTCGGGGAGGAGTTTACCCCTCCCCCTACCCCCTCCCCTGGACCTGGAGAGGGCGGGCCGAGTGGGACCAAGGGGGTCTTTTTCGACTCCTGGGAGGGCCAAAAAACGACGACCCTCACGAGGATTCTGGTCTCGAGGGGGGGAAACCGTTTGGCGCCTCCACTCGTCTTTGAAGCCAAAAACATTGATTTTACTAGGGTTTTGGCCCCATGTTGGCCTCCTGAGGGGGCCGCGCTCATCTTCCTTCATAGCAAAATCATTGATTTTACGAAGGTTTTGGGCTCATTTTGTCCTTCTCAGGGGGCAGCGCTCCTTTGCGCTTCTGAGGAGGTCGCAAGAGGCCCCAAGATGGCCCCAAGAGGCCCCCAGGAGCCTCCCAAGAGGCCTCCAAGAGGCCCCCAAGAGGCCCCCAAGATGCTCCAAGAGGCCCCCAAGAGGCCCCCAAGAGGCCCCCAAGAGGCCCCAAGAGGCCCCACGAGGCGCCCAAGAGGCCCCCAAGAGGCACCCAAGAGGCCCCCACGAGGCCCCAAGATGCTCCAAGAGGCCCCCAATAGGCCCCACGAGGAGCCCGAACGACTCACACCAGGACGAGGGGCCCGAACGACTCACACCACGAAGAGCCCGAACGACTCACACCACAAGGAGGGGCCCGAACGACTCACACCAGGACGAGGCGCCCGAACGACTCACACCACGAGGAGCCCGAACGACTCACACCACGACGCGGGCCCCGAACGACTCACACCACGAGGAGCCCGAACGAGTCACACCAGGAGGAGGGGCCCGAACGACTCACACCAGGATGAGGGGCCCGAACAACTCACACCACGAGAAGCCCGAACGACTCACACCAGGACGAAGAGCCCGAACGACTCACACCACGAAGAGCCCGAACGACTCACACCAGGAAGAAGGGCCCGAACGACTCACACCAGGACGAGAAACCCCAAACGACTCAAATCACGAGGAGCGCTTTCTCTCCCTCCTCCTCCGCCTCGTCCTTCTCCCGCTCCCCCCACAAGGAGGATGTACAAGGAGGCGGGAGGAAGGAGGAACAGGGGAGATATGCGGGGCCAAGCGGACACACGCCTGAAAAACACGACTGTCGGCATGCTTCGCAAGAGTTGCTGCTGTGAGATGGGCTGGTGGGGATACGCGAAGCGTAAATAATAACCATACATGTGTGTATGTGCAGATGTATATTTCTAAGAAAGAAGGAGAGAGAGAGAGAGAGAGAGAGAGAGAGAAAAAAAAAAAAGAGACTCAGAGAGCTGCCCCTTGGATGCTGGGAGCTGTGCCCGCCCTGGCTGTGCCCTGGCCGCCGCTGGCCCTTCGATGTCTTGCCTGCCGTGACTACCCCGACCAGTGCTCTTTTCTTTCCCTGGGCCGTCGCCGACGTCGCTTAACTTGCCGACACCGACTGGGCCCTTGCCTTGGGCTGCCGCCGATATCGCCTGCTCCCACGACTCTCCGTGCCGCGCATCGTCGCCGATCCCGCTCGCCGAGGCTGGGCGCCAACCGATTCGCCCCTTGTCCCGCCCAGGCCGGCGACGATTTCGCTGAGCCCCGCCCAGCCGTCCCCGGTGAGCTCCTCTGCCTGGATCGTCCGCCTCCCACGCCTGCCCCGGCTAGACGCGACGCTTGCCGTGGGCTACTCGGCCAGCTCCTCCTGCCCCGACTTGGGCCCCGACTGACTCGCCCATCGTCCTACCCCGACTGCACGGGCCCTATCTGGCTTGTCGCTGGTCTCGCGCTGTCCTGACTTGTTCAGTTTCACTGCGCGCTCCCCGGAAGCCCCGACCCCTTCCCCAGTAGTGGGAGATCGTCGCGTGAGCGACGAGCCATCTCAAGCAAAACATGTTTTGGTCTCGATGGCAAATGGTACACCTCGCACTGAGGTGTAGTCAGATCTGGGCGGCCGGCCGCTTGAGAACGAACGGCCGCGGACACACGCTCGTTACCTCTCGCCTGCATCCCAGCTCACTTCAGAGTTCCCCAGGGCCCGCTTTCCATCCCGAGTCGTTCCTCTTGACGCTTCCGAGGCCCAGCGAGGGCTCCCAGAGACCGAAGGCGGCCAAGAGCTTCCCGCCGCGACTTCTGCCAGGTTCTGCCAGGCCGTGCGCACGCCTGCGTGGCCCCCTCTGGCCCCGACCTGCCCGCTGCCCCGGACTGTCGCCGAGGCCGGCTCCCCGGACGCTTCGGCGACACGCAGGAGCGACCCCAGGCAAGAGCGACCTTCGGTGCGGGGCCTTCTTGGAGGACGCCACCGGGCGCGCAAGCAGTCGCTATCGCATCGCACGCGGCCCTCGGGGGCGCCCCACGAGGCCCGCACCAAATAAGGTCACTCTGGCGAAGCTCAGACATCCGACGTCGTGAGTTTCCCCTGGAGCCGGCTCTTCAACCCGAGTCGTTTTTTGACGGTCCTGGGGCCTGGCGAAGCCCCCCCAAAGGCCGAAAACTTCGGTGGCAACTCGTGGGAGCCTCCCACACCATCGTGTCGGCTCTTGCGGATCGACGCTAATCGACGCTACATCGACGCTAATTCGGTGCTACTTCGCGCTAAACGACGCAACTTTGCGCTATCTCATCGACTCCCAGACGCTAATCTCACCAGCCCTCTAGGCGTAGGTGGTTCAGGGAGTTTCCTTTTCCACCCCCCTTCTTCCCGTTCGGGGAGGGGTTTACCCCTCCCCCCTCCCCCCTCCCCTGGACCTGGACGGGGCCGGTCGCGAGCGGTCAGAGCATCCAAAACGGCATTGGCGAGGAAGCCAAAATCATCGGTGTTATTGTAGTTTTGGCCTCATTTTGGCTTCTTGGGGGGGCGGACGCTACTTGGAGCTCCCCGCTTCTTTGATCGATGTCTTCCAAGATGGCCCCAAGAATCCTGGTCCCCAAAAGGCCCCAAGATGACCCCAAGAGGCCCCCAAGAGATCCCCAGGAGGCCCCGCTCCCCCGAGGCACCGGAGCCCCCCAGGACCGCCAAGAGACCTCCAAAAAGTCCCAAGAGGCCACCAAGAAGCGCCCAAGAGATATCCCAAGAGCCTCCGAGAGGCATCCAAGAGACCTATGACCCTTTTGCTTGCCCTCCTTCTCCTGCTCCTCCTTCCTCCTCCTACTCCTTCTCTTCCTCCTCCTCCTCCTCATCCTATTTATCCTCCTTCTCCCCACTCCCTCATCCATCCATCCAGCCTCCTCTTTCTCCTCCCCCCTCCTTCGCACGGTTCGGCCGTCCCCCTCTTTGCTCCCGCACGTCCCTGATCACCTTAACTTTCCTGGACACCGTTTCTGGATGGGCAGCTGGTGGGGATACTTTTTGGTCGGCGGCCGCGCGACAATGGTCTGGCGGCAACAGGCGTGCCCGGGACGGCGGAACAGGCAAAGTCCTCGCGAGGCGTGCAATGCACGTGCACTGAGCAAAATGCTCAGCATTCACTGGGACGCACCTAGCGCACAGAGGTGCAAGCTGCGGAGTAAGTCGCCCTTGCGGCGCCAAGCTCCGAGCAACTGCCCAGACAGATAACTACGTACCAGCCTGGGACGCCAGAGTGGAAACGAAGGCCGACGACGCCGAAGGCTGACCCACACGGCGCGCGGCCAACGGAACCACCACCGACTGCAGACGCTGGCCGAGAATCCAAAACACAGTGTCGCGCGGGTGTGGGAGGGCTACAGCAGCCCACAGAGTGCGACAGGGCGTGTGGAAGGGGGGGCGCAGCTACCCGCCGCAAGAAGTACGTAACTGAAGGACAGCTGCACACCGTCTGTGAGAACACATGTGGGGGTGCAGCTAAACGCCGCAAGAGTCACGTAGTGAAAAAAGGGGGGGGCTGCACGGTGCAGTGCGGCATAGGCTGGAGTGTGCCAGCGCTAAGAGCCACAAAGCGACAGGACTGGCAACACTACGCGACACAGCTGAGGCTGCACCTGATGTGTACCAGCGGTACGAAGCTGAAAAAGCTGGTGGGGATACGCGGAGCGTCTAGAATTGCCGCAGATAGCGTCTAGAATTGACGCAGATCGACGCTGGAGACATACTTGCGAGGGTACACAAGGCTCCCATGGTTTGCCACCGTAGAAATCCACGAAACCCCTCCGTCTCGAGTTTCTGGAGACGTCCCAGACCCCCGACGTCGTGATTCTTTCACAACATCGACCCCCAAAGGTCTGGACCCTGTTCACTGGGACCGGCTTTTCGTCTCGAATCGTTCTTTGACGGCCCCGAGGCTCGCGAAGGGCTCCCAGAGGCCGAACATGGCGAAAAACCGCCCGTCGTGATGTTTTCACCGCGCGAAGGGGGTCTGGGGTTGGAGGTCTGGGGTCGCCGGCTCCGCCTGCCCCGGCAGGGCCCCGCGGGCCCCGGCTCACTTGCTGCAGCAGCCGCAGGCGAGGCCGCCCCCGGGGGCGCGGCGGCCCCGCGGCACCCAAGAGTCCTTGGCCGCGGCGTAGTGCTGCCGGTAGGGGGCCAGGACGAACACCGAGGGACGGAGGGGAGGGAGGGAAGGAGGGGAGGGAGGGAGGGAGAGAGGGAAGGAGGAGGAGGAGGAGGAGGAGGAGGAGGAGGAGGAGGAGGAGAGGAGGAGGAGGAGGAGGAGGGCAAGGAAAAGGGTCATAGGTCTCCTGGATGCCTCTCGGAGCCTCTTGGTATACCTCTTGGGCGCTTCTTGGTGGCCTCTTGGGACGTCTTGGGGGTCTCTCGGCTGGTGCTGATGCTGATGCTGATGCAGATGATGCGGATGAGGAGGGGGAGGGGGAGGGGCGAGGGGGAGGAGGAGGAGGAGGAGGAGGAGGAGGAGGAGGAGGAGGACGAGGAGGAGGAGGAGGAGGAGGAGGAGGAGGAGGAGGAGGAGGAGGGAGGAGGAGGGGGAGGAGGAGGAGGAGGGGCGGAGGAGGAGGAGGAGGAGGAGGAGGCGGAGGAGGAGGAGGAGGAGGAGGAGGGGGAGGAGGAGGAGGAGGAGGAGGAGGAGGGGAGGAGGAGGAGGAGGAGGAGGAGGAGGAGGAGGAGGAGGAGGAGGAGGAGGAGGGGGAGGAGGGGGAACACCGCGTAGAGGTAGAAGAACATCAAGCACACCATGGGTCGCGGGGCGTCAGCGGGCCGTCTCGCCGGCCCTGGACGGGCCCCTCCCGGGCCCGGGTGCGGCGTCTGCGCGTGCACCGGGTCCGGGCAACAAGGCTGAATAGACCCAAACCCCTCGGGCCATGAGAGAATCACGACGGAAAATCGTTCGTCGTCTTCGGCCTTGGAGGGCCCTTGCCGGGCCTCGGGGCCGTCAAGAAAACGGCGGAGGATCAGAAGCCGGTCCCAGGGAAGGGGTCCAGACCCCCTGGGGTCGGCGTCAAGGAGAAGTCATGACGTCGGGGGTCTGGGGACGCCGATCGCGTGGGGCCGGGATGGGCCTGGCCAGGAGCGGGGAGGCGGTCGGTTGACGTCCCCCGAATGGGAAAGACGATGAAGAGGAGGAGGCCACGGATCGTGCTCCACTTCTCGACCTCGTTCCAGTCGAGCGCCTTGAGAACAAAGCGGTTGTTGCTGCAGTCTCTCCCGTCGAACACCCAGTAGAAGAAAGAGAACAGGACGTACGAGATGGACACTCCGGCAAAGTACACCCCGTGCAGCAGATGGTGTGGCATTCTGGAGATGAACGCGTCCAACAGCATGATGAGGAAATTCGCCCCGTGAGTCAAATACGTGAGTGTGTCTGGCACCACGAGCTGATGAGGGAATATCAAGCCCCAGTACAGCACACAAACAAACAAGGAGAGCGGCAACGATATGTCAGCGAGAACCCAAGCCGTGCCCACGCTCATGGGCATGGGCTCGTAGTTGGTGAAGGATGAGGCACGGTACGCGGCCCACAGGGATATCCAGACGTAGTACACCTGAATCACGAGTGACCAGTGGGTGAGGTAGATAAGGTACTTGTCGCCGCAACCCATAGTGACAAAGCGGTCGTACAGGCTCCAGACCGTAATCCCTGTCACTATCAACGCCTCGAGCACCTTGAAAGTGAGGTAAGACGCCGAGCTTCTCAGGCAGCGGTTGGTGCCCGGGCCGAAGACGTTGGTCCACTCACCCTCGGTGAACGCCTCTTGGTCGATACTCTGCCTTTCCCACTCGTCCTGGAAAGCTCCGCACAACGCGCCCATGGTGGCGACACTGTTAAACCTTGCGCCGCGGGCGAGTTTGAGCCCAAATTGGGCTTCGAAGAAACGAGAAGTCCCCCATGCGTTGGGCGTTGCAAGTGTTTGCGCAATGGGCGTTTTCGCCCTGCTTCGGGCTCCGGGATCATCACAGATCGATCTGGCTCGAAAAATTCAGCAGAAGGAATCGGTCGATGGCTCCGGTCGCGATTTTCGCGATGTTTCATATTTGTTCGCAATGTCAGCGCCATTCGCCGATCTACATACAACGCAAGACGAGTGGAAGCATCCGTGTAAGTTCATACAAGTATGTATGTATGTATGTATGTATGTATGTATGTATGTATGTATGGATGTATGTATGTATGTATGTATGTATGTATGTATGTATGTATGTATGTCTGCCTGTCTGCCTGTACGTATGTGAGTAAATGTATGTGTATATATATATATATAGATTTATGTATATTCCTCTTCCTCTATTTTTGCAAGCCGAGGGGTGAGTGGGAAAACCCTCCCACCCACCCCCCCAAAAAAACTGACCCCCAGGATCCGGGGTTTCCGAGGCGCCCCCCGGACACCCTTGCCAAAGGTCTCCTGGCTCGTCCCGGACCTTCCAGGGCGCTTGGCCAGTCTTGCCAGCAGACCCCGAGCGATCAGAGCGGTGATCAGAGAGGCCGAAGGGGTCCAAGACAGCACAAGAGCGCTCCAAGTTGAACCCAGAGGGCCTCCAGAGGCCTCCAAGATGGCCCAGGAGGCCCTCAACAGGACTTTCAGAACGCAGAAATCGTTCAATTCCCGTAGGGAAACCAATATTTCCATATTTTTTCAGCATCTTCGCTGTTCGAGTCTTAGCAGCGTTCAAAACTGCCACAAAAGGTTTCCGGTATCGCCCCGAAACGGCCCAAGAGACCCCGAAGAGAGCCCTAGACGGCCTGGATGGCCCCATGACTATCCAAAGAAGCCCCGAAAGGGCCAAAAAGAAAAACAGCAAACCTTAACAAAACCAGCAAAAGAAGCCCAAAAACGCCATGGAAGGCCCCCAAAACGGCCATGGGAGGCCACCAGGAAGGCCCACATAGCCCCAGCAAGGTCTCTAGAGACCCCAAGCTCCCCAACACAGCCCAAAATGGCCCTAGCACGGCTCGAGAGGGCGCCCACACGTCGTCTTCCACCAAACTGACCCGAATCCCAAGTTCGCAACCACACTTCATGGAAATATGTTGCAAACCTGGGATTTGGTGCAGTCCCCGATAATTACTTAATTTCGCGTGCCCCGTTGCGACCCGCTGCAACATGACATCTTCGGCTTGGCATTGCATTGTGCTCTGCGGCATTGCTTGACATTGCGTCAATTTGCGTGGCATTCAGTCGCATGCCATTCCTCCGCATTGCGCACCGGGGCACAGCCAAGAGCAGGCCAATGTGCGGGCCTACGAAAGCCTTTCGTCGTCATGCACTGCCAGACATTTCTGCAAACGTGTACGTACCCCCGACGTCGCCATCTCTTTCCCTCCTCCTGCTCTTCCTTTGGTTCCTCCTCATCCTCCTCCTACTCCTCCTCCTCTTGCTCCTCCTCCTCCTCCTCCTCCTCCTCCTCCTCCTCCTCCTCCCCCTCTTCCTGCCGCTCCACCACTCGTCCTCCCCCGCATCCGCTTCCCTCTCCTCGCTCCCCGAGATTCCCTCCCTCTTGCCCTTCGCCCTCCACCTGGCGCCCTTCGGGGCCCCATCGAGGCCCCAGAAGGGCCAAAAACCTCCCGAATTTTCGAAGACCTCCGGAAACCTCCGCAGGGAAGGGGCCAAATTTCCAAGGCCACTAGGGATGGCGCGAACGACCAGCAGATGCAAAGCCTCAATGACCAAGGTGCATGGCGCGAAGCGCCCATGCAGTCTTTATGTGTGCATTTTTTATATGTATATAGATGTATGTCTATATATATATGGGTGTGTAGGAGCATGCACACACATATTTATATATACACACATGTACATATGTATTGATGTATGTTATTGTGCATGTATGTATGTATGTATGTATGCATGCATGCATGCATGCATGCATGCATGTATGTATGTATGATGTATGTATGTATGTATGTACAACTATACACATGTATGCTCGCCCGCCTGCCTGTGATCATACCATTTACCTTGGTTTCGATACTTTCCATTGTTTGATTTTTCCGTCCTCCCCCTCATCTGCTCCCCGCTTTCCGTCGTTCCTCCTCATCCTCGTATCCTCCTTCAGCGGGGCAGTGCAAACTCGGGCTGGGGGCGGCGGGGCTGCGCAAGGCTTTTAGTGTGCTCTCGCGCTGGATCCGAGTCCCTCTCTACCCCCGGGAGGGGGATGATGATGAGGAGGGGGGGGGGGAGGAGAAGGACAACTATATCAAAGTAGTGAGGAAGAAGAGGATCTAGGTAAGACGAATGCGATCCCGATGATGATGACGATGATGATGATGACGATGACAACGATGATGAGGAGGAATTCCTAATACGGGATCCACAATAAGGGGTCATGGGTAATAAGGGATCTTTACCTGAAGAACCCTGAACAAGGAAATGATATTTCCCAATGAATCCTTAATAAAGAATGTTTACCGGAGAATCCTTAATCAGGACCCTTAACTGAAAATCCCGTGGTGAAGAACCTGAACTCAGGAATCCTTAATTAAGAATCTTAAAGTAAGGAGTTCCTTTTACAAAGAATATGAACCAAGGAACCCTTAGTAAGGAATCCGATGTAAAGGATCTGTCATAAGGAATCGTCGAAGTACCCTTCCAAAAAGAATCCAAAATAACGGAATCCTTTACCCAGAAATATGTACCCAGGAATCCGGGCTAAGGCATAGCATTACGGTCTCATTACTAAAGTACCCTTGATAAGGAACCATTCGTAAGGAATCCCGACTAAGGAATTTGAGCTAAGGATTCCTTTACTACATAATTTTACGAAAGAACCCCTCACAAATAATTCAGAACAAGAAATCTTCACTCAGGAGCCCTGAAAAAAGGGATACGAATTAAAGAATTCGTAATAAGGAATATCCAGCAAGGACTCCTCAATAAGAAATCTGAATTAAGAAATCCTTAACAAAGAACTTGTTTGGTGGACTCCTTCATCAGGAACCATGGCCCAGGAATCCTGCGTAAGAAACCCTTGTTGTGGAACCCTTTTCATGTGAAGTGCTCAATTAGGAAGCCTGCGTAAGGAATCTGGAATAAGGTATCCTTAAAAAATAACTCCTTTTTTTTCGAAGGAGTCCTTCAGAAAGAAGATGTTGTGCGGATTCCGAATCAAGGAATCAAAATTAAAGATCTCTGAATGGAGAGTCTTTAACAAGGGCTAGTGACCAAGAAACCATTAATGAGGAACCTCAACTAAGGAACTATTAGCTAAATAATCATTGCTGAAGAACCTGTGCGGGGGAATTATTACGAAAGGGTCTTCACGAATGAACCCTTCACAGGGAACCTTCAAGCAGGACCCCTTAATGGCCAGGCGTCCCCGCCCTCGGTTCAAAGAAACGCGGTGTTGTCATTTTTTCCCAACCATCCTGTGGTGTTGGGTCCTCGTTTTGAAGAGACGGTGCCCGCGTCCTCTCCTCTCCTCTCCTCTCCTCCTCTTCCCCCTCCTCCCTCCTCCCCCTCCTTGCCTCTGCTCTCGGCACACCTCTCACGCGTTTCGTGGCCCCATAGGGAGCTCCACCGAAGGCCCCAGTGGGGGTGTCCACATGCGGTTCCCCCACCCAGGGCAGCGTTTCGTGGCCCCATAGGGAGCTCCACCGAAGGCCCCAGTGGGGGTGTCCACATGCGGTTCCCCCACCCAGGGCAGCGTTTCGTGCCCCATAGGGAGCTCCACCGAAGGCCCCAGTGGGGGTGTCCACATGCGGTTCCCCCACCCAGGGCAGCGTTTCGTGGCCCCATAGGGAGCTCCACCGAAGGCCCCAGTGGGGGTGTCCACATGCGGTTCCCCCACCCAGGGCAGCGTTTCGTGGCCCCATAGGGAGCTCCACCGAAGGCCCCAGTGGGGGTGTCCACATGCGGTTCCCCCACCCAGGGCAGCGTTTCGTGGCCCCATAGGGAGCTCCACCGAAGGCCCCAGTGGGGGTGTCCACATGCGGTTCCCCCACCCAGGGCAGCGTTTCGTGGCCCCATAGGGAGCTCCACCGAAGGCCCCAGTGGGGGTGTCCACATGCGGTTCCCCCACCCAGGGCAGCGTTTCGTGGCCCCATAGGGAGCTCCACCGAAGGCCCCAGTGGGGGTGTCCACATGCGGTTCCCCCACCCAGGGCAGCGTTTCGTGGCCCCATAGGGAGCTCCACCGAAGGCCCCAGTGGGGGTGTCCACATGCGGTTCCCCCACCCAGGGCAGCGTTTCGTGGCCCCATAGGGAGCTCCACCGAAGGCCCCAGCGGGGGTGTCCACATGCGGTTCCCCCACCCAGGGCAGCGTTTCGTGGCCCCATAGGGAGCTCCACCGAAGGCCCCAGTGGGGGTGTCCACATGCGGTTCCCCCACCCAGGGCAGCGTTTCGTGGCCCCATAGGGAGCTCCACCGAAGGCCCCAGTGGGGGTGTCCACATGCGGTTCCCCCACCCAGGGCAGCGTTTCGTGGCCCCATAGGGAGCTCCACCGAAGGCCCGGGGTGTCCACATGCGGTTCCCCCCCAGGGCAGCGTTTCGTGGCCCCATAGGGAGCTCCACCGAAGGCCCCAGTGGGGGTGTTCGCATGCGGTTCCCCCACCCAGGGCAGCGTTTCGTAGCCCCATAGGGAGCTCCACCGAAGGCCCCAGTGGGGGTGTTCGCATGCGGTTCCCCCACCCAGGGCAGCGTTTCGTGGCCCCATAGGGAGCTCCACCGAAGGCCCCAGTGGGGGTGTTCGCATGCGGTTCCCCACCCAGGGCAGCGTTTCGTGGCCCCATAGGGAGCTCCACCGAAGGCCCCAGTGGGGGTGTTCGCATGCGGTTCCCCCACCCAGGGCAGCGTTTCGTGGCCCCATAGGGAGCTCCACCGAAGGCCCCAGTGGGGGTGTTCGCATGCGGTTCCCCCACCCAGGGCAGCGTT